ATTACTAGAATAAATATGGCACTAATAATTTTGCCGCGTATAAACGAAAACAAAATTTAGATTTTTATTATTTGCACACAATTGACATTATCCACTTATTTAGTTCGTAGAACTTTTATATCGAATTCGAATACATTACTAGAATAAATATGGCACTAATAATTTTGACGCGTCTAAACAAAAACAAAATTTAGATTTTTATTATTTGCACACAAATGACATTATCCACTTATTTAGTTCGTAGAACTTTTATATCGAATTCGAATACATTACTAGATTCGAATACAGATTCGAATACGATTACTAGATTCGAATACGAATTCGAATACATTAGATTTTTTTTCAGTATGGTAAAAAAATTTTTTTTTCGAAATAATCGGAAATTTTTTATAATTTCTTCAAAAAGTTTTTTTTCAAAATAGTAAAAAAATTTTTTTAGTAATTGAAAAATTGTTGGTTTAAAATTTAAAAAATATTATTTTAATTAAAGAAAAAATATTTTTAAAATTAAAAAAAGAATAGGTGGTGGTATTAGAAAAAAATAATTTTATTAAAAAGGATTTTTTTAATTAAGTGAAAAATTTTTTTTAATAATTGAAAAATTGTTGGTTTAAAATTAAAAAAATAAGATTTTAATAAAGAAAAAAATTTTTTTTAATTAAAAAAAAGAATAGGTGGTGGTATTAGAAAAAAATAATTTTATTATATTAAAAAGGATTTTTTTAAATTAAGTGAAAATTTTTTTTTAATAATTGAAAAATTGTTGGTTTAAATTTAAAAAAATATTAATTTAATTAAAGAAAAAATATTTTTAAAATTAAAAAAAAAGAATTGTTGGTGGTGTTAGAAAAGAAATTATTTTATTAATTAGGATTTTTTAATAATTAAGAGAAAAAATAATTAAAAAAATAAATTCAAAAAAAAAAGAATTAATTTCAAAAAATTCTTTAAAATTCACTCTCCTCATGTTCTTCTTCTTTGACGTTTTTATAGTGATACCCACATTTTGTAATATCAAAAGAAGGTAGGTTAACTTTGTATCGTATATCATTTACATCTCAAATTTAGAAAAAAATTTTATATAGAAAAAAATTTTTTATAGAAATAATATTTAATCAAATTTTTAATTAAAAAAATTTTATGTATAAATAAATTTTATAATAAAAAAATTATAAATAAATTTTTTTTATAAAAATTTTTTTATAAAAATATAAAAATTTTTTATAGAAAATGTTTTTTAAGAAATCTGTATAGAAAAATTTTTTAATTTTCTAAAAATTTTAATTCAAAAAATTTTTAATATTATTAAATTTTTAATATTATATAAATATTATAAAATTCTTAATATTATAAAATTTTTAATATTTGAAAATTTTAAAGTTACTACTTGTATCTAAATTATTGAGTGTAAGTAAAAGGGGCGGGGCACCCAGACAAGCCTAAACCTTTAGGAAAGTGCGGTAAAAAATGGAATAAATACGTATGACTAACTACTTAAATCTATTAAGAATATCATAATGATTACAACATAGATCCAAAAATTCAAATTAATTCAAAAATTCAAATTTAATGTTGCTGTGTTTAATGTTGCTGTGAATTTAATGTTGCTACCACTTTTTGCCTTCTTTCTTGCTTTAATTCTCTTTACATTTATTTTTCTCTTGGTGGCGCATAGCTTGGGGTTGCATTTTGTCCATTTCTCTTTTCGCCACGACTCATATTATATTGGAAAAGTGGTTGTCTGTTGAGTAAAATTAAGTGGCTGTGTGTTTGCGAATTGCAAAATAAAGTGGTTGTTTGCACAGGAAATGGAAAGGAAAAATGTATAGGAAATAAATAATTCTCGACTTAGCAGATATTAAGTCCTTCCGTGTTTCTTGATGCCCTTTTACTTAAATTCTTAGCATCAAATCAACTTGATTATGGTACTTTCTGAAGACTCAAATGTGCTACTTTGATTTTTAACCGTTTTAAATCGATTTCTGAGTAGTTAGACCGACCCCCGTGTCGCCTGTCAAAAATGATTTTAGTTAATCAATCAAAATCAAAAGGTATGGAGCCATTTCCCTCCCGACCCCTACCCCACCAAACAAAAGGCTTTGAGACTCTATTTCCCCCACCCAGCCCCTCTCTAATTAAAGGTTTCCCTCACCAACCTCAAATATATTGAAGCTTTTCTTTCTCCATCTCAAAACCAAAAGCTGTCGGAGCTTATCTTTCTTTCTCCTTCCCTCACCCGCACCCAACCCTCTTCTTTTGTTTTCCTCAACCAAAACCTATAGGCCTTTTCTCATATTCAAATTTTACGTCCCGCAGCTTTCCCCTTAATCCATTTTTTCTTCACAAATAAATCTTTTTGTTTTGAATAATAAAAATTTTTATTTTTCCCATCCAATCCTTCTCATCCTTTTGCTTTGTATAATACTTTCAATGCCGCCCTCCTAAGTATAATAATATTTTTCCTTCGCATTCTTTCCATCATTTTGTTACAGAGTGTATAGGCAAAAATGCCTTTTTTATAATTTTTTAAATTTATTTTTAAATGCTTATATTTATTTATTATTTTTAATATACTAGTCATAGGGTGGCCTAAAAAATCGGGTCATGTTTTCAAAAATTTCTTGGTTATTTTTTAAATTATTTATTCTAATTTTCAATTAATTGCCCTCCCTCAAATAATTACCCCACTTCCATTAATTACCCATCCAGCGTAGATTGAAACAATAATTACTTCCAAACAAATGCCCTAAAACACGTTCAAATTTCAAACCTCTATATAATTACCCTCCCTCGATTAATTACTCCCTCCAGCGGAAGGTCGAAACAATTATTCAGGGTAGTTATTAAAGGATATACGGTATTTTTATACGGTATTTTAACCTATTTTGAAAAAATCTCTTCCAAAAATCCCTATTACTTATATATGAAGTTGTATTTTTAATTTCATAATTTCGCTCCACAGTGCCTTTATAAAAATTCACTAAATCATTATCAAATTTAGTAGTTAGCGGCTACAGTAGTTAGTCTTTGGAGTAAAATTGTTAGTAGTTTAGTAGTTAGTCGTCCGGTAGTGGGGCTCATGTATTTGTGGGTGCACTCAAAAATGGGTGCCGCTTTTTTTCACCACCTCAGTCAAAAATTTCGAAGCTAATAATCCAGATTTCTTCCATTTTCACCGCACAAAAACTTTTGTGTACAACTCTTGTCTAACTCTCTTATTCTACCCTTATGTATATTAATTACACCTCACTATAGTTGCACCTCATCACATACTTTATGTTTGACATCTGGGGAGTATATCTATAGTATACCATTTTGGGGAGTTGCACATTTGACCGAAATGTATTTTGGTTAAATGTATTTGTGCCTTTGTCAATTTGATTCCTCGTTTATCTGGGGTATAAAAAGGGACGATTTATTGAAAAATCCTTCATTATTTCAAAATGTCCGATATAAAATTCCCAAAAATATTACCTGAAGTTGAGTTTAACATCTCAGCTACAGGGATTACAATCTCCAGTATGCGCTATACAACTCCACGGTTTCTTCCTTACGACCAAGGAGGGAAATGTCGTAAGTGCAGGAGCACAGAAGTCGAATTAGATTTTATTATAGTAAAGGAAGGGGTTGTAGTCTATTGCACCCGCTTTGAAGGAAGTCGATTTGTTCCCTTCGATTCATTATACGATTTACCAGGTCATTGCTTCTTCAAAGTAAAGAACAAAGGCCGTGTATTTAATGTACCATACAACGATACTACTCACATTCCATGCACCAAAACTGAACCAGCTGAACCAAAACCTACCCAAAGTCTCCCCACAATACCCGAAGAAGTGACACAGATACCCCAACCCCTGGATAACCTTCCAACAATGGATGAGTTGGATGATTTCTTCCAGAGTTTAGACGCATCAGTGACAGGCATTCCAACCGATTAAAATGATATTTAAGTGAAAATTTCGTATAACCATAAATATTCATTATGAATTCATTAGCTTTCTCGGATAAAGATTTAAAATTTAAATTACCTTTTGGTATGATAATATCTGGTCCTAGTTCAAGTGGAAAGAGCACACTGTTGTTGAAACTTATTGCAGAATCCGAAGAGTTAATCCACCCTAAACCAAAGTCTATACTTTACTGCTTTGGGGAAATGAACAATATTGTACCACTTTTACAAAAATCTGGAGTTGATGTATTTTCTGGGGTTCCGCCTGAAGACCTAATTAAAAAATACCCTAAACCTCTTTTACTAATTCTCGATGATTTGAATCTTTCTATTGATGAAAAATATCTATCTGAATTGTTTACTAAAAAATCTCATCATCAAAATTTTTCTATAATTTTTGTTACACAAAATTTATTCGATAAGAAAATCAAAGTAGCACGACAAAATTCTCAGTACCTCATGTTAATGAGGGCACCCAATTCAATGCTATCCATTAGAAACATAGGGGTGCACCTATTTCCAAAACAATTGGACTATTTTCTAGACTCATATCGACAGGCAACCAAGCAACCTTATGGTTACTTGCTCATTGATATGCATGCTTCCTCAGATCCTACCCTGCGTCTTAGGACCAACATATTTAAGGAAGATGATGAAAAGATAATTTTCTTTCCAAAAAATGGTTAATCAATTAATTTCTGAAAACCTAAAATTTTTACATTTATTGTCAAAGACCAAATCTAGGAGAAAAAGGAAAAGACTCTTAAAATTGTCAAATAGTGAACAACTTTTAGCATTAGCCGAAATTTGCTTGAATATAGTAAAAGAGAGGTTCAAACTTACAACTCGGCAAAAGAAAAGATTATTACCTCATGCGGAATTTGTGCGAAGTTTGAGTAGGGTTAGGAGTGAAAGGGGAGCCAGACATGTTATTAATCAAAAAGGTGACGGAGTGGGAGTATTTGCAGCCCTCTTAACACCAGTTCTCATTGAAATGGCTAGGATGCTGACTATAAAAACCCATGACTCATCTTAATTTAAAATTAAAATTATGGCTAATAAATTTATTCTAGTTCCTGAAGAAATTTATAAAGGTTTGACAACCCAAGATACAGGGGAGCCAAACTTGGATTTTATTCGTCAAGGTCTAGAGAAAACAAAATTGAAAAGGGAGACACCTAGTGCAAAAAATGTACACTATAATCAGGAGCTTAGGCGATATTTGCAATTAAGAAATGAACAACAAAATAGACCGGTTAAGGTGGAAATGGTTGCTAGTCCAAAGGGTGCAATTATGAATACTACAGCCTCCCTTCCGGCTTCAAATATTGGGGAAGACGACGATAATATATGGATGAGTGATGATATGTCCTTTAGTTCGTATCCAAAAGAGACACCATCTTATAACATTATACCACCTATCCTACCAGATATTAAGCCTGCAATTACATTAAAACCAAAAAAATCTACTACTTATTACAAACCCCCGAAAAGAAAAAGAGGTGAAGAGGAGATAGGTAGCAATAAAAGAAGACCTTTGATAGATTACGAAATCAAACCAATTAAAAAAGAAATAGGTGATGATGGTTTTGATGACTATAGAAAGAAGGAAAAGAAAAGACAATATTTAGAAAGGAAGAAGGCTATCAGAGAACAAAAAATATCCTATACCCCACAGTACCATAAAGAAGTTACATATGTTCCACCACCACCACCACCACAAGGAACAAAAAGGTTACAGTATATTAATATTGAGGAAGGTAAAAGGAAAAGGATTGATGAGTTAGAGCAGAAAAAGGAAAACCTACGAAAAATAAAAGAGGATCAAAAACTAGAAAATATTAGGAAAGGGAAAAAGGAAAGGGAATTAAAAAGAAGTGGTATAAGAAAACTAAAAATCCCCCTAGACCAATCAGCAATGTTAAAGGCTAGACAAGAGGATGACATTCGAAGGCGTCAAAAGTTAAAACGAAAGTGGCAAGGTCCAGACGAAAGCCCCTTCTTAACGCTAAAGAGAGTCAAACCCGTTACGAAAAAACAATCCGCAAGAGCAAGCAAAGAATGGATGCAGAGGCTTATAAAAGCCAAGCGCAAAGCAAGTAACAAATCATTTAAACCTTCATTGTGGTAAAAATGGGTGATTATACTAAACTTTTACAAGATTTGTACAATAATCCAGAGTCTCCAGCTGCCTTTTCAGGTGTTGATAGACTATGGAAGGAGGCTAGAAAAGTACTAAAACATATACCTAAAAACGTTGTGCAAGATTATTTAGAAGGGCACAGGACTTATACTTTAATGCGACCAAGACGTATTCATTTTAACAGAGCCTTGACAATACCCGCAGGCTTTATGACAGACGTCCAAGTAGATTTGGCTGATTTTCAAGCGATCGCAAGACATAACAAAGGGAATAAATATTTACTTTTGGGAATTGATGTTTTATCTAAGAGAATATTTGGGGTGCCTGTAAAATCAAAAACGGCAGAGAATATGGTAGACGCGTTCACTGAGTTAATAAAACAAATGCCTATGAAACCACACCGTATATTTTCGGATAAGGGAAAAGAATTTAAAAATTCTCAAATGAACGAATTTTTTCAAAATGAGGAAATTCACAAGATGGAACCAACTCACTCCACAGTAAAAGCAGCACTAGCTGAAAGGGCTATTAGACATATCAAACAACGTATTTACCGTTACTTTGCCCAAAACAAGACCTTAGATTGGATTCAAGTCCTCCCTGGAATTTTAGAAGGAATAAATAAAGCAAAAAGTAGGGTACATGGGATGAGACCAATTGATGTTAATTTTGACAATGCTCAGGAAGTATGGAAGAAGGTATATGGAGATGTTTTTTCAGATAAAAAGACAACCCCAAAACTTAAAAAAGGAGATTATGTTCGAATGAGTCTTGGAAAAGGACTGTTCGAAAAGGGTTATATTCCAAACTGGGGTGATGAAATACTCCAAGTAGAAAAGGTTAAAGGACATGTTCATCCAATTCGTTACAAAGTCCAAGATGATAAAGGTGAAAAGTTCAAAGGATCATTTTACGGAGAGGAATTAGCTCGCGTTCGTAAGGATGCTGATACTGAATATAGAATAGAAAAGGTTGTAAGAAAGAAAAAGAGACCGGATGGGACTTACGATCTTTTAGTAAAATTTATAGGTTATCCCGAAAGAGAATGGATCCATGAGACCCAACTAGTATAAAAGCTCATTTAATTGTTCATTATTTCATTTTTGATAAAAATGTCAAATACTTTCTTTGTTTTTCTTCCTAGTAATGTTTCCGATTATCCAGATAATCGACCAAATAAATTTCGCGTCCATCTGCCTAGACCTCTATATTTTTCTGGGGACTGGGTATGTGGTTTGCATAGTATAAGTTATCCATATTCATGGCCCTCAACTATTGGTACCCTTGACGAGCAATGGATTGACATCCATTTTACCAAAACCGATGGAAGGGCTAGTATTATTCGTGTACCAGTTCCCAAAGGTTCACACACCACTGTAGAAGATTTACATCAATTTTTATTATCTACTTTAGAACACCAAGTAGGAGCTATAGAAGGATCATCCTTGGAAAAGCCTGAGACCCTAGTCAAACCTCCAAGTGTCCGCAGACCAAAACGTAGTGTATCCCCTGAAGGAGAACTTAAAATGCCAGCTCGTTCATCATCGGCCGAAGAGGAAGAAGGAGAACTTAGAGATCAATCCCCTTCATCCTCTGCAGAAAGGGAACTAGAATCCCGTAGTTCATCTCCTAAACTTACCAAAATAATCCCGACCCCTCAACCTCCAAAACACTCACTAGAACATTCAAAACCTATTCCAGAAACTCCAAAACCCTCAGCTGATCTTCCTAAACCCACACCTCCACCTCCAAAACCAACTCTTCAACCTACCACTCCTCTGCCACCACAACCTCCAAAGCCTACAACCCCTCAACCTCCAAAACCCTTAACTGAACCTCCGAAACCCGCACCCCAACCACCAAAACCAGCTCTTCAGCCACCAGAACCAAAACCCGTTCCACAACCTACAAAGCCTACACCACCTCAACCACCAAAACCAGCTCCTCAGCCACCAGAACTAACTCTTCAAACACCAAAACCCGTTCCACAACCTCCAAAACCTACAACACCTCAACCTCCGAAACCCTCTCCTCAACCACCAAAACCGTCTCCTCAACCACAAAAACCAACTCCTCAAACATCAAAACCCGTTCCACAACCTCCAAAGCCTACAACACCCCAACCACCAAAACCCTCTCCTCAACCACCAAAACCTCAACCACCAGAACCAACTCCTCAAACATTAAAACCCGTTCCACAACCTCCAAAACCCACTCCTCAACCACCACAGCCAACTCCTCAAACACCAAAACCCACTCCACAACCTCCAAAGCCTACAACACCTCAACCTCAGAAACCCTCTCCTCAACCACCAAAACCCTCTCCTCAGCCACCAAAACCCACTCCTCAAGCACCAAAACCAACTCCTCAAACACCAAAACCCACTCCTACCATTCCTCAACCAAAGTCAATACAACCTTCTTTACCCACTTCTCTTTCACTAACACAAGATAACGAGGAAGAATCAAGAACTCCATCTCCCTCATCTGAATCTTCAACCGAACTTCCACAACTCCCAAAACCTGCGGCTACATTTAATGACCCTTTATGGACTGAAGAATATGAACGAGTACTTACACATGTACTCGCTAATCTCGGGCAGAAAATAACCCCACAAGCAAGGATAAATTATCTACCAAATATGCCCATCCTTGTAAAGAAATATGGTAAAGTAAACAAGGTAGACGCAACAACACAAAAGCAAATTATAGATTCAATAGAATTATTTTATCATAGTGACTTTGAACGATTCAAAGTCACATTCACTCACCCAAGCATAAAATATGTTTCCTTTTCCAATCAATTAGGTTATGTATTAGGCTTTCAAAATCCAAATATGGTACTAAACAATGAAATTGCCAAGTATGGTTGTGATTTAAGAGGAGGTTTCTCCAGCTTCGCTGTATATTCCAAAGGACTTACTGAAAGTATGATTATAGGGAATTCACTTAGTTCACTCCTAAGGGTTGTTTCTGTAGCAGGAGCCACCCCAGGACAATATTATGAGAAAATATATGATTCACCAATTTATGCAAGAGTATTACCAAAAGAAGTTAATGAGATTGAGATTGAACTGAGAACAATGGATAATGGTCGACCTGTACCATTTGAATTCGGTACAGTGCTCCTGGTCCTAATATTTAAGAAGGTGATAAATTTCTGATTTTCATTTACAAATTAAAAATGGTTCACATTTTATTTGATACAAGTACTGTGAGTTATGACGATTTTATTCTTCCAATGAAAGGAGGAGGAATTACTGATGACTATTTTAAAGGTGCAGCTCCCTTTCAGAGAGGTTATGGTCAAAGAGGAGCAGGCATTGGGGATATTATGAGAGGACTTTGGAGATTTTTCCTACCAATTGTGCGGCGTGTAGGAACTACTGTTTCAAAAGAGGCACTTAATACAGGTCAACGTGCATTAGGAAGGGTCATTCAAGGAGAACCTATAAAAGAAGCCCTAGTCAGTGAAGGGAAGAAGGGGATAGATACTGTGCTTGAAAAAGGAGGCTTACCTAAACAGTTTGGATCTGGAAGGGGTATAAAAAGGAAACCAATCCCCAGTCATCAAACAGTTATTAAAAGAAAACGATTAAAATCTGACGCTTTTGGTTTTTATTAAACATGAGTTTTCATAAAATTGACCGTGATAGTATAAATTCTATTACAAATGCCCTTGATTTTTTCCAAGTACCACCAACAAATGTAAGCATTTCATCATCCAAAGTTTTTGAAATTTTACCAAGTAATCCTGTTACTGATACACCCATTCATTTTAAGATTCATAGTAGTCAAAATTACATAGATCTATCAAAAGTTTACCTGTTTACTGAATTTCGCATAAAAAAGGAAAGTGAAGATGGAAAATTGGTCAAACTGGCTGCTACAGATAATGTAGCACCTATACAACTAATAGGTCAGACATTTATAAATAATATGCGAATTACTGTAAATGGAAGGGAAATTTTTAATTCAAACTCACTCTACGCCTACAAGACTTACTTTTCTCACGAACTATCTTATTCGCAAGGGGCAAAAAGTTCTCATTTGAACGCTGCAGGCTATTTCTATGACTCGGACCTGAAACTTGAGGATGGCTCAGCGTACAATACAAGAAAAAATTTATTTTCTTCAAGTAAAACTGCACAATTCATTTCGAAACTTGATGCAGATATATTCAACCAACCCCTCTACCTAATAAATCATTGCGAAATTGATGTTGAAATACTTCCAAATGACATGAAGTTTGTATTGATTGCACCTCCCGTACTTGGAGTTGACCAACCAATAACTTACAATTTTGAAATTGTAAGCTGTAAGTTGTACGTCAAAAAGGTTGATCTTATGGACGGGCTCTCTTTAGATATTGCTAAAAAACTTGAAACTAAGCCTGCAAGATATTCAATAAGAAAGACTATGATGAAACCACTTTTCATAAGCCAGGGTAGATATGAATTTAACGCAAACTTGTTCATGGACCAAATTCCCAGAAGAATTACCCTTGGTCTAGTTGCAAACTCGGATTATGTTGGATCTATGG